ACAGATTGACTCCATACAGACACACGAGGAGGCACAGTAAAGGCAGACACTACAGATGTCCGACCTGTACCGTAAAGACAGATAAGGAGACAGGCGGACAGGCCCAGTGTCCGGACATGCTGCTGAACCTGCGCTGAGCAGAGGGGCAGCGAGGCTCCAGGGCAGACTCACCGCGTGAAGTTACTCCTTTGTGTCGTCTGACTTTGAGCGCCGGCACATCCCAGCAGGACGAGCACGATAACGCTAGCTCCTGAGAGCACCCGCAGAAACATGCTGCTCTTCATAGGACCCTCAGAACGAGAGAGCACGGCCAGGACAGAGAGGGGCAGAGAGCGTGCAGGCACTGGGGAGGAGGGAGGTGCAGGGAGACGATGTCTGGGATCGGAGAGAGGGAGAGAGGGAGAGAGGGAGGGGACGGGGGGAGGGAAGGTTTAATTACTACCAGATGGAGCTTGTGTATTAACTTTGGCTGGAGGTTCCAAACAGCTGAGTGTGGAAGAGAGGGGGGCAGATTTCTGAGAGGGGGGAGAGAGTGAGACAGGAGAGTGAGACAGGAAGTAAGAGTGAGATAGGAGAGGGAGGCAGGAAGAGAAAGTGAGACGGGGAGAGAGTGAGACAGGGAGAGAGAGGGAGACAGGGCTAGAGAGTGAGACAGGAGAGGGAGGCAGGAAGAGAAAGTGAGACGGGGAGAGAGTGAGACAGGGAGAGAGAGGGAGACGGGGCTAGAGAGTGAGACAGGAGAGTGAGACAGGGAGAGAAAGTGGGACAGGGAGAGAGTGAGACAGGGAGAGAGAGGAAGACAGGGCTAGAGAGTGAGACAGGAGAGTAAGACAGGGAGAGAAGGTGGGACAGAGGGAGAGTGAGACAGGGAGAGAAAGTGAGACAGGAGAGGGAAACAGGGAGAGAGTGAGACAGGAATTAAACATGGAGAGAGAGTGATAGAAGGGGGAGACAGGAAAAGAAAGTGAGACAGGGAGAGAGTGAAACAGAGAGAAAGTGGGACAGAGAGAGAGTGAAACAGGGAGAGAAAGTGAGACATGAGAGTAAGACAGGGAGAGAGAGTGAGATATGAGAGGGAGACAGGAGAAGAAGACAAGATGAGAGGGAGATGGAGGTTGAGAGAGTGACCGGGTGAGAGAGAGGATGTGAGGGTGAGACAGGATGAGAGAGAGACAGGTCAAGAGGGGGAGACTGGGAGAGAGTGGGACAGAGACAGAACAGGACTGGGATAGAAGGGAGTGGGAGATAAACAGTCCAAAACAGGAAAATTACCCCTAATGGCTCAGAATGTGTATGACTGAGTCTCAGTGTGTGTGTGTGTACAAGCTCATGCTCCTGTGTGTGTACGTGTCAGTCTTTAGAGTGTGTGTCTGTTTACACTGTATAATAGCTACTTCTCAGCGCAGTTTGTTTTAAACAACATCCTGACCACAGAGAACCATGCGCCGTGTCATTTCGCCCAGCTAAATCTGATTTCCTCCACATAGCCTTCTCTGTGGATTTAAACACACAGCGCACACACTGCGGGCAACGCAGGGTAACCTGATATGTTGTGCATCGTACAGAAATCGCAGGAACACTGGAGCCACTAGTTCAAGCTAACTGCCCAGTCTTGTTGTGGAAGCCCAGACTCCTGCAGTCCTTCAGGAAACAGCCGGACAAGATTCTCCGATTGGTCAGCAGCAAGGCAGGCCGGACAGAGTGCCTGGCCTCTCCCACCCACTGCAGCTCCTTAAGTGCAGACAAGCAGGTAGATATTTCAACAGACGTACACCATCACCTGACTGTAGGCTGAATTAATGGGTCATCACTCAGATAAACCGTCCAACCAAGAACAACATAAACAACTCACTAAATCTGTACAAATACAGGATCCTCCACAAATCTGCTCCTTTTTTGATGAGTTGATCATCCTTCAATCGGTTCAATAATGGAATGGGTCTTTCAATGTAGCAGAATTAATTTTATTATTCAGTTAGCCCTTTGAAGTGCTACTCTACATCAGGCCCAACTTGGCCATAACACAGGTGAACCCCAGAATGGGATCTGACCCCATCCTATGACAAAACCCCCTCACCTGGCCCTGTGTTGGTCTTGAACCAAGACCTGCCATTACCTGAACTTACAAGCTCTTGCCACAAGGGGGAGTGGGTGAGCAAGGAGTAAAGCATATTGGCCATACTTGATTTCAGATGAGCATTGGGCCTATAATACATGGGACATGAAGCAGGGTTTTAAAATTGCTCCTGAGAACTGAAAGAAATGGAAATGTCTTTTTGTATTTTAATTTATATTGAATTAAACTTGCTGCTTACCCTTGGGTCGATTATTTAGCTATCTAATTAGCCATCTAACTAAAAGGGCTGAATTGCCTTCTATCATTTTCAAATGTCCTTATGGTTTTATATCATATTCAAGTTGATAACATCCCCACATTCACACTAACTGGCCCCCTGATCAGAAAGATGATGATTTGTATGTTGATTAGTTTAGTGAGAGCTGCGTCTCTCCTCCAGTCAGTGCTCACTCTGCTGTGATCTCTCAGTGCT